AAACTCTCCTCCTCTTGCATGTTTCCTCTGTCCATAGCGTTCCTTGACAGCGTCGTTTCTAAGTCGCCAGTTTAGTGCTACTTGGTCCCAATGTCATTTCCCATTGTGAACCTACTAGTATGCTTCCGAGTATGCTTCCACCGGCCAAAACCAAACATGCTTGCGAACCTTCCGCCACAACAGTCCCGCCCCCTTTGATAATCGACCAACTTACTACTGCGTGTACAGAAAGATGACGACTCTCAGCCAGTTCTGCTATTCTGGCACAACACTAGCAATGCTACTTCTTCACTGTCTCTGTGAGGCGGCACCTCTGAGGCTCCCTTTAACAACGTCTGTGTTGTCGTTGGATCAGAACCTCCTTTAAGAATGAAGGAGCAATCCACATACCTGGATCGCAGTTCAGGGGGAATGCAGCAGCCAGCGACTCACTGAAGCGCCCTAAATGGAGTAAATGATGCATTTTGAACTAGAATTTTACAAAAAAATTATTATATATATTTGAATTTGAAGACTAAAATGAGTTATACACCAAAACATAATCCAAATTTAGGCAGAAGACATTTGCTAAAAAATAGTTTTTACATCCAACATATGAAACCTTAAAGTAGATAATGTAGTTTTAGAATAGAGGTCTGTCTGTCTTTGTTGAACTGTGCACGTCAGACACTGTAGACCCTGTTGATAGTTATTTTTATGTGTGTGTGTGTGTGTATTTCCTTCTTTGTTGTTTTCATTTAAAACTATAGAAAGGCTAAATATATACAGATAGAAATTTGGAGTAGCTTTCTACACCCTGATTGTGTTTTTATCTCTAACAGCTATTGTTAATTCATGGAGTGGGGACTTATTGTTTAACTCTTTAGGCCGAACAGCTTTTTAGGCAAACATTGTATCATCGTATATTGTATCCCTACAATGACTGTGATAATGATAATAAAAATAGACATCATTGTTGTCATGGAAACTAGTTGATTTCTCCTAAATATTTAAATAGAGCAGTAATTGTCTTAAATTGATTTATAGTAATTCAGGTGACTACATGACTCAGCTGTAGTAATATAATGCTAGAGGGCCTGCTACAGTTTTGTTATTCTGTTGTCATGGTAATAGAAATTTGCATGAATTAATAATTACACATTATCTTTAAACAAAATTGCAATTGGAACGATATGTTACTGTTGTTGCTGAATGAAAGAAACTCCTTCCTTTTAGTCTACAAAAAGTAAAGCTGATAAATTCAGCATTACATTAACGTGTGAATTGATTGAAAGTGAAGACATCACAACGTTGATGCTTTTTGAATTGTAAACAAATGTGAACTTTAGATAAAGAAGGTCTGAGGTGTCTTATGCTTTATCTATAGTAATGGAATCGGTCTTTCTGAGTGGGAAAGAAGAAACTCTCCTTTTAGAAAATGACTGCATATATTTAAAGTCGGTCTTTTGCCACTAGAGGGCTCCCTAGAGCTGGGTAAAAAACCTAGAGTCTCAGGTGTTTCCCTGCTTTCTACTACTGATTACATTTTAATGTTTTCTGTATCACAAAAGCATCATGTTAGTAACAGACATCAATAAAACAGTTAGACTCATTGGTAACCGACCGTCTATTTACTGAATGTTCTGTGTCTTTAGGTCACGTTCCGTACGAGGATCTATCACTGCAACATCAACAGCCAGGGGGTGATCTGCCTGGACATCCTGAAGGACAACTGGAGCCCCGCCCTCACCATCTCCAAGGTGCTGCTGTCCATCTGCTCCCTGCTCACAGACTGTAACCCAGGTAAGACCAACTCCTTAGTTAGAGCTACTGAGAGTTTACATGTTCCTACAGAGTAAACAAACGACTTCCCTTCTTAAAACCATTTTATCTGCTAAACTTCATCCACAAAGGAAGCTGTTGGGGCAGGATGCTGCTTCTAATCCCCCCAAAAAACAGAATTTTAAATAATTTTGGAGGTCATGGAAGGATACTTTTATTTAATTTATAGAACACAAGCAATAGTGGTTGTGCTTGAAGAATCGTTTTTTCTTTTTTATACAAAGTTTCTATTCAGTCCATAAAAGTATTTCTTTCATTTATGGTTTGTGACGGACACGGAATAAAAGGAAAAGCTTTTTAGATTATTTTCATTTTTATCCAATTTCTTAAGAATAACTAAATTTAAATGTCTGTATTTGTAATGTTAAGATATTATCAGATCATAATTCCTCACCAGATCATGGTAGAAACTATAAACCTACATTGTCTATACCCTTTATCTCACAGCGGTAAATCAACAGTCATAAAATTCATCACTGTTTTTATTTAAATAGATCGTTGAATAAAAGGGGAGTTTTGACAATAACACCAGTGTAGAATTCAGTCAAGGTTGGTCCATATCTAAGAACGAAGTCTTAGTCCTGGGATCTTTAGCCTATAGAAAACCAGCGACGGGGCGTGGCAGAAGCGCTGGGGCAGAGCATGTGACCCATATACGCGCAGTCCTCCTTCAAAATGTCAACCCTGAAACCTTCGCTGCATTCCTCTCTACCCCCTTTCCTGCCTGACTGCTATCAAATAAAGACCTACGTTTCACAAATCTAAAAAAAACAACAAAACACCAAGGTCAGGCACGTCGTTCCTATCCTCCCTCTGTTCCTGGTGGGCGTGGCCGGTCATGCAGCTCCCCATTAATGGTGACTCAGCAGGAGTGGCGCTCCCAGAACAGGAATAGCATTGAGGTAGATTCTGGAAGGTTGCTTATTTTCCTGCTTTAAAAGAGGAAAATAATAATGTAATAAATGTTTGATATATAGAAACAAAAATAAAGTCACACTTATGAGGCTTAAATCTGAAGCAGGAGTTGTTTTAGGGATGCATGTCATCTTTAATCATCTTCCGCTACCAGTTGTTGAATAAAAGCAGATTTTATTTGCTGCGCCGTCTGCTTTAACTAAGAACTTCAGCTGCAGCTCAAATGAAGGTTGAACCCCGAACCTAAACACAGTGGAGACATTTGGAGTCGCCAGATATATAAGAAACATATTTGCTCTAACACAATTCAAGATTCCTCAATAATATCTCAGAACTGTGGACCTTATTACTGCTTTGGTTCAAGGTTTTGCTCCCTGCTAGCAATTTTAATGAATGGGCTTTAATGCCTAAGATACGCTCCAATCAACTAAAGGCAGATTAAACTTCCAAGCTCTCCATAGAGGCAGCCGAGTCCTACATTTATGAAATGTTGGTCTTAGAAGTCAAGGCACCAATCCTTAACTCTTTATGATTTATTTCAGGTTGTTCTAAACAATAATTATACTGGACTTTCAGAGAAACCAGAACAAAAGCCTGTTTTTTCTTTTCAGCTGATCCTCTGGTGGGAAGCATCGCCACTCAGTACACGACTAACAGAGCCGAACATGACCGAACAGCCAAACAGTGGACAAAACGATACGCCACATAAACCCACAGGACACCAGTGGGAGGAAGAGGACGAAGAAGAAGAAGAGGAGGAGGAGGAGGAAGAGGAGGCTCGGGGTGGGGGGTGATCTGTGTTGTTTGTGACAGGGGTTATTTTTATCTCATATTTTTAGTACTTTGTCGGCTATAATTTTTGTTTCCTGGTTAAGTTATCTCTGTGAACATGCTAATAAAGGAAAACGATGTACCAACTCATCCAGTTATTTCTCTGTGATTTCAACTAATAAAAATAAAATATTAAATTTACAGGCTACAGAAATAAAAACATGTTGGTTTAAATAAAATGACAGCAGGTTTAATTTATGCTCTGCTTTAAGGATGCGGTCTAATAGTTATTCTAGTCAACAAAATAAAGTTTTTTATAGTAGAAGCACTTTTTCAAATATCAAATTATCACAGAAATGCTTTTTAGCTTACTATTTAATATTTAAGATTTTTTTTTAACCAAAGTGAAACACTGAAGCTTTCTGTAGTAGAGCCGTATCCTATGCACAGCCAAAGCTGGAAAGAGTCCAGCTGAACATCTCTAATTAGACTTATTTCTATACTAGAGGATCAGATTAGCTTCAAATCACAAAAAAGGGTTTCTGCCATCAATATATTACTTCTCGCAAAGAAAACCAGTAAAAATAATGCTGCTAATAGTTTTCCAAGAAACAGATTAAGAAGTTCAGTTGCTGAAAATAAACATTTCAGGAAGTCAAGAAGCTCCATAAGAGCAATTAAATTTGAAGTCTCCACCAGAACAGAGCTTGGCCAAGCTTTGCAGCAGACGGGTGCTTTCACTGCATAAAAAACTTGACTGCCAAAAACAAATGACTAATGAACAAATGTCTGCACTGCTCGACATGCGAGGATGGACACCAGAGGATTGGTGGAAAGTTGACTTCCCTTATGATTCCAGTTCTGGAAATCCAGAAAATCTTCTGGTCAGATGGGAAATGAGTTCTGCCCACTGGGGTGCGGATGGTGAAGAATCCTGATCCGATGCATGTGTGTAGTTACTTCAGATCATTCACACACCTTTACAATCTCTTATTTGTAGCATTTCTACTAAAAGTAATGGAATAATATAGTATATTTAGTGTGAAAATGTCGTGGTTTCTACTTTTTATTTTGATAGAAAAATAAATTAACTTGTACAAAAACAGACATAATCAAACCGAATAAACAATAGAATATCAAACTATGTTTGTTCTCCAAAGATAAGTTTGTTCCAGAGAAGTTTATGCTGCTCTTTCCTTGTCTGTGTGTCAATCTGGCCCCCAAAATTTTTTTTTGTCATAAGTAATGATTTCCAGAAAATTTTTAATCGCATCATATCAACAGTTAACTCGAGATTAATTGCATATTTTATCTTTTTATTTACGAAAGTGTAAAAGCCTATTTGGGCATTTTAAAAAATGCAATTGAGCAACCGATAAAAAAACACATGCTTATACAAAAAGATTTTTTTATTATTTGTTTTCAAGCACTTTTAAGAAACTAGAATAAAAATATCCTTGTTCAAATTATGGTCAATAATTATTAAAAAATTGTAAAAAAAAAAAAAAAAAAATTAGGTGTTATGCTTCCATCAAAACTTTACAAAACTACTGAACAGTAAACAGTACTTCAAAGTACTCTGTAAACTTACATTTTTTTCTCAAACATAAAAAATAAAGATGTACTGTTAAAATAAAGTGCACATTGCATTATGAAATACAGACTTAATTCAAATAAAATGAAGTAACTCACAAAATAACACATAAATCAAACGAAATTACAATAACTGGCTTTTACAGTCATCTCAACAATATAACATTTTACATGTAGAACATTTTCAGTGTGCTCTGAACAGGAACTGCAGCAGAAGTGCAGTCCACATGACTTACGGTAGTTCATTACTTTGTCTTGTTCTTTAAAAAGAAACTGATCATTCAGGATCCCTTGTCTGCTGGCCATTTTTGCCCATTCAAAGCACGGGTCTGTTATGCTGCGGACTCTCCCACACACTTAGCATTCCTGGAACTACGGAAAGCACCGAGGGTAAAACAAAAAGTATAGAGATGTGCGATTAACGTGTGTGAAAAAAATGTTGGCGTTATAGTCTAAAACAGTTAACACGTTAACGCTTTAAAACTGACAGCCCAAATATAAATTATTCATGCAAAATAAATACTCCTGTTAATTGTTATGCTGGGGCCCTGAAGCAGCTGCTTAGTTCACTTAAACCTTGGGCCGGCCCTGATCACCGTTCTACGCCAATAACACCACCACAGATAAAAAGTAGAATCAAAGCACCCTCTTAACGTCTTCCAACATAGCAGGAACTATTCTGTTGATTTTTATGCATGTGACTAAAAACAAAATGCCTGATAAAATGCCTGATAAAGGTCAAACAGTACAATTTGGGAAAATTTAGGAAACTTCTCAGAACTTAAAGCCACAGAGAACTTGAGAGAAGGCATAAGCCCAAAATTTGTAGAACAGAATAAAATAACTTACTAACCAAATAATTTAAACATGAAATATTTAGTTTTACATAGAAGCCTAAAAAGCAGATGGCCTTCTAAGCTTTTACGTCACGCAGCTTCACCTCGGTTCCATTCACCTTTACACTATTTGTTCGGTCCAGTTGGGATTCAGTCCAAATGCTTTAAGTGCTTCTAGCAATAACTCCATATTTTTTTCCTACAGTTGTAGTTTTAAGCATATGAATGATTGTCCTTATCGGTGTTCTTTGCCCTACCATTGAGTTTAAAAGTGTTTACAGCTTTGTTGACCAGATTCTTAGTCATCTGTAAGAGATAACAGGCAGAGTTAACGGGGATAGTTACCAAATATAACCTCTCTCAGATGTCGGGTGAACAGATATGTTATGTGTAGGATCAGAGAGGTCATCTGTTCTCAGATTTCAAATGCAGGTCACTGCTGAAGCTGCAGAGAGAGGAAACCTGCACCAAAGGAAAGCTGGATCACCATCATGATGAATAAAATCATTGGTTTAATGAATACACTTTTTTATTTTAGTTTGTGCCCACAGAGGGAGCCCAGACATTAAAACATTCCTTTTAAAAATTCCACTATACTGAAAAAAAGTATTATTTCCTGCAGTAGTTTTTTTTTTTTTTTTAATCCTTCTCTGACAGTTTTTTTTAATTGATCCAGTCAATCCAGAAATATGTTCAGCTCTCAAAGGCCCTTAGGTGCAGGACGTGATGTGCGGATGATGTTTTGTCCTGCCAGGCGTGAATCACTCCTCTGAGGTTTGAACTCAAGCCAGAAAGCTGAATCTGGGAATTAAATACTTTCCATTTGTGCCGTGTGTTCTCAGCAGAAACGGAATCAAAGCGGTCTCTGTTGTGCTTTCTTGGAGGGGAGCCATTTCTGGAAATACAAACGATCTGGTTGGATATATGAGAGCTGATAAAGTTAACAGATAACTTGTTCTATAACCTCAATTTTTTTTGTCAACACAAACATCAGATTCCAAACAACATAAAAAGAAACTCCCAAGTGTCGGTGAGAGTAAACGTTAACAATTAACGTCTAGTTTGGGCTGTGAGGTTCTACTGGTCAGATGTTATTACATGTGACTGTAACTGCTTAAACTCATCCACCTATCAGCATCTGTCAGTAATGCAGAGTAAAACCAGATGAGTTTGATAAGACATGTTGCCTGATCAGAACTTTGGATTCCCTGAAAGTAAACACAGGCTGGATGCAGCAGGAGCGCCTTGAGAGTCACGTTCACATTACATCCAAAACTTTCTGCTGCTCAAGCAAATCCTGCTCATCATGCTGGTGCTTAATGTAGACCTAAATCTGTGGATATTAAGCTTTGCACAGACAGTGCATTTGTGTTCCAGATATAAAGAAGTTTAAACGGAGAAGTCCTGAAACAGGCGATTTTCACAGAGAGCCATGTCTTAAGCTTTCAGAGAATATCATGAAAAGGAGGAAATACACAGACTGTGGATTTAAATGCCTTGCTGAAGTCAGGGGAGAGTGGGAAGACTGATTCAGCATGGTGAAAGGTATCAATAGCATCAAAAATAAAACTGGTTAAAACCAGAGTATGCAAAATACTCAAAACGGATAAGCTACAGCAGCAGACAGGCTCAGACTGGTAATCTAGGATACCGGGCATTTGCCCAGTGGGCCGGTCCTAATTTCCCTAATTACCGGCCCCAACACTTACTCTCCGGCTGAAGCTCCTACCTGTGACAGTAAATAACTCAAGGAGCTCAATAAGTAATACAATGTTAACTACCTAAATGATGCATGCAGTTAACCTGACTCCGCCAGAAGGATTTGCTCCGCATATCCATCTGGAAACCTTCCTTTGAAGTAATTTTGGGAAAGGGCGAAAATACTGGTTAGCTGATTGGCCTATGTTGGTGATAGACGGGCCAAATAAACCAATCAGATCAACGAAGCATATGACGTACTAACAGAGAGACGACGAAAACACAACCACAAGCCAGGCTACTCTTGCCGAAACCAGTCGGGAGAAGAGCAAAAACATCTTTTCCTCTGAGAAAAGCCTCCAGAGCAGTGTTTTGCTCTTCTTTCAGTGAAGAAATACTCTGTAATTCCGATAAAACTTGCTCGATAGCCACGCTAACGCTAGTTTCATCGGCTGAAGCCGCCATGTTCGTTAGACTGAACTGTCGTGCCTCTCGTTGCGTCACACCTCAACCCGCCTCAAAGCCAACACTGATTGGACATTCGTTTGGTGAACGGCTCCCAATTTTCTTTAACGGAGAGTCTCCAGACTGATCTGCGAGTGAAACCTTGAAAGCTTGCGAGATCAGGATGGTCTCACGAGGCTAGCATGCAGTATATATAGTAGCCCTTCCTTGTCATGCACATCCTTGTGACATGTGATGTTGGCATGTGATGTAATTTTCTATTTCTTCAAACTGTAAAATCCTTGCAACAAACTAACTTATAATAAAACTAAAATGCTTTCTTTAAACGAAACTACGATGTTCCTCTTATATTTGGCGAATTTATGTTCAAATATTTTGCAAAAATATGTTGCGGTGCATGATGGGGTTTTGCATCTAAAGGCTAAAGTATCCCGTCCTACGTGCATTGTTGCCAAGTTGGGATGTTTCCCAATCTGGCAGTTTAGGATGGCCTTCTATGGGTAAAAAATGTTTTTCTTCAGATTTATGGCCTGAGAGATCAATAGACTTTGGTTCAAATTGGGCGAAATTTCATTTATCCAGGTGGTTTATGAACATTTTTTGGGCTGGAAAACTTGAGTCAGTGACATCTGGCAACCCTGCTGATGTGGTGATTGTGGACAATAATAATAAACTGCATTATAGAAGTCTTGGTGATGGTTGTCGTGTGATGCTTGAAGATAGTTCGGTTAATCCACAATTGGACTGTGCTTCTATATTTTTTTTCGGGGAGGGGGGTCCATAAGTGGGCTGGTGTAGCTGGAAAAATGCCAGGGCCAAAAATCCTTCCAAGTCTGAGCCTGGCAGCAGAGGACCGATTAGGGTTCTTGCAGTTAAGAGCATGAAATTCAGCAACAACAGGTTTACCAAAAACCTTACAATAACAGATTGAAAAATGTTGCCCAGCCCATCAAGTCTTAATTCGAACAGCAACAGATCGATAGGAGTGTTATAAACTAACATAAACTATTTGCAAGCATCTATCCATCCTGATTTGTCTTAATAATGCAGGTTTCATGGTGGTATAATGGATGTGGGGATTATTTTCTTGGCCCTACAATGAACCAGACTGTTACTGCTGAACATACCAGTCTGCTGCCGGCTGCTTCCAGGATAGTGAACCATGGCAGAAAGCTCTGAACATTTCCTAAACCTGACAATGAGTTCGCTGTACTGCACTGTCATCGGATCTTAATCCAAAGGAGAAGATTTGGAAAGTGATACAAATCATGGATGTAAAGCTGAGAAATCTGCACCAGATGATATTGTGTTTATATGGACCAAAGGGCAAGAATTAAAAAACTTTGTTGAGAGAAATGTTATAATATATTTAAAAAAAACTAATTCTTTTCATCATATTTTTTGCATTTTGTATTGTTTGTTTCATTGATAAATTATATGAAAATGCAGAGGAGTATCGAAACTAAATCAGTGAACGTTGGCAAAGAGGTTAAAAGCATGTGAAGCATTTAATGATTCGTGTGATGAAATAGTGATAATAGCTATTAAGGTATTATTTTTAGTTTCCTCATCATCTTTGACACTGAATGAAAGCTGAAGCTATCAAAGGTCTAACGTGGCTTTAGGTAATTGTTTGACCCCATTTTAAACAGGTTGTGTCTGATTAATGTGGGAGTTTGGGGATTTCCAGAACAGCAACCAAAGTGACAAATAACAGTTTCACTTCATCTCTAGTCTGACTAAAACGAAAGTTTATAGAGATTAACGAAAATATCTGTTCTATTATTTTTCTCCCCAAATGTGTCTAAAGGTTATCAGTCCTCATCAAACCCTTAAATTGTTGACAAAACATGTGCTAACGTTCCCTCTCTGAACAAATGTGTGCTAAAGTGTGGTCTTGGACGCCAAATGTGTGTTAAAGTGCTCACTATTACTGTGGTGAGGATGCAGTCAATGACCCGCGTCTTTTTTTTTTTCTGCACCTTCCCATTAAAAAAGTCTGTGCATGCAACTGTTTGTAGCCCTTGATGAGGTTCAAGCTTTATCCTGCCTGTTTTTTTTTTTAACCCTCTTCTCTAAAACAGTAGAAATGCTTAAAGTGCTCTGATTTCTGGCACAGAGCAAACTTTTACGAGTAGTCCAAATGTTTTCTCCCCTTGAAAGTCTATGTGCTTTGGTTAAGCCTTAACTAATCCCAAACCAAAAATGCATCTTCAATCTAAACACCTAGCTATTAAACTGTCCCTCTCAGAAATAAAATTGCTTGCAGTTTAAAAATTAAAGTCACCATCCACAGAGTGGCAGGTTTTTCCATCACCATGAGGATGCTAACCTAGAGCCTCTTTCCTCTTTGGCTCCCTTGCCACTGCCAAATAAAGCTGGATCTAACCCCTCGCTGGCAGCTGCATGTCTGTTGACACCATCAGGAAAGTAAACAATGGAGAGCAACATGTAGGGAAGCCAGTGCATAGTAAGTGAGCTTTATTGTTTCGCTCTTTTATCTTTCCAAATTCCTCTTACCTGGGCATGTTTATTGAATGTAAACAGAGTTGTTTTGGCTTGTTAGATCAGAAACGACGGGCTCGGTGTGTCGATGTCCTTACATGGTGTTCAATTATCAGAGTTCCTGTGTGTGTGTTTGTGTGAGAGTTATGCATCTTTTAAAGAGAGGATCTTTGTGGAGTGCCTGGGTAGTCCATACAGGTGAAGCTCGTCAGTCTCATCAGACTGATTGGCTTTAAAGAGAAGCAGAGCCTTTATTCAGCGCTTGTTTCTTCTGTCAGGTGGAGTGGAGAACAGATTAGGAGGCAGAGATGAGTTTGCAGATTTAATATGTTTCAATAGGCGACTGAGGCAAAAAATCCATCCATCCGTTCATCCATCCATCTATTTTCTTCCACTTTATCCAGGGCTGGGTCATGGTGGCAGCAGTCTAAGCAGAGATGCCCAAACATACCGATCAACACAAACCTCCTCCATCTGCTCTAGAGGGACCAAAGGTGACACCAGGCAAACTCAGAGACATAGTCCCTCCAGCATGTGCTGCGCCTTCCACGATCCACAATCAAAATACTGAAAACCACAATCTAGAAGACATCGGGGGACAACACACGAGTAGCCAGGAAACGACAGAGCAACAAAACAAGAAACCAGCACTGAATGGAGGCTCTGCCGCTCTTTAAAAACCAGCACTCTCGTGGGACTGATGAGCTCTACCTGTGTAGACTACCCAGGATCTCCACAAAGATCCTCTTTTGGAGAGATGCATAACTCACACAAACACACGGGAACCCAAACATCAATAGTGTCACGTAACTTAGTGGTTCAACCCGGCTGTGGTACTCCCACACCATGCACATTCAGAGCTGAGGCGATTTTAACGTGGGTCGCTTGCCAAGTCGTTTCACCCAGGTAGACACGGGTCAATGAGCTGTTCCCACTGCCACTAAAAGCCGATTGTTCCCAGCATTAAAGGGTTTTTCGGCAGTGGGAATGGGGTACTTGAGACATGCCGCTAATCTAGAGTTAAACTCTTAACTAGACTAAAACTAAGAAATGGATGAATGAGGGTTACTCTTTTTAATCTAAGAAAAGTTTTAAGCATGGTGGTGGCAGCATCATGATGATGGCATGTTTCACAATTGATTGGACAACATGAAAAAAGGAAGACCATCTCTTGTTATTGCACTTCACCTTAAATCAACAGCTAGATGTTTACAATCTGGATAGTTTGGTATTCAGTGGAACAACAATAAAAAAATGACCCTTAAACCAGTTTTAGAGGGGAAAGGTCTAATATGAGGCTAATGTAAATGACCACCTGATGAATGTGTGCACTAAGACCTGGGTTTGAGGAAAGAAAAGAGACCCTGACTTTCAAGGAGACTGGTCAAATGTTCCGATAGAACATAGACGCCAGGAATATAGATCCATCACACCAGGCCTTTAATACCATATGTCAGAGAAAAACCACCTACACCCCTCAGGTCAACTGAGACCTGTTCATTCAGATATATTAAGGGGAGAGCCTTGTCCCCTTGAAAGGAAAGAGGACAGAAGAAAATATGAATAAATAAAATATATATATATACCATAAGGCAGAGGTCTTCGACGTTTTCAAAGCCAAGGACCCACAAACAGATGGTCAGATGGAGCGGGGACGATGAAATTGTGTTATATCAAACTGGTCCTATAGTCACTCTATTACAGATGGAGTAATGTAACGAAAGTAATTTCACCCTGGGATTATCAAAGTATTTCTGATTATGATTCCTGGTTGATGGGACAGGTGTTGTGAATGAAACAGTGCCCAGCTTGAAAGAGCTCCTGTGTGTCGCTGAATGTGTGCATTGATGGCTACATTTATCTCCTTACTACAGTGTGTTGAATCCATGTTAATGTATATTTAAAGACATCTCAATTAGTGGAAAAAAAATCGCAAGAGGGAAAATAAAAAAAGAATAAAAAAAATCTAATCAAGCAAAACTTTCGCTACCCCCATGCATGACCTCCGTGGACCCCCTAGGGGTTGCAGACCCCCTGTTGAAGACCTCCGCTATAGAGTGTTTATAAACAGGTTATGTTTAAATGTGACGCATTGTCATAAGATTTGACCCAGGGCATCCAAACCTTGTTCTAAATGTCAGAGTAGATTGTTATATAACGGTGCAATGAAAACAACTCATTTCTTACACCAATAAACCTCTGATATAGCAGAGATTTTTTTTTGTTTCAACTGTTAAATATGCCTCATGTTATAATGCACATCTTAATTTAGATGTGTACGTGTGTGGGGAGTGGAGATAACTATTTACAGTGCTCTAAACACGTGTCTTTGTTTTTGTGCATCTGAAAGGGCATGTGACAAAACTCATTAGGTAATAAACACCTGCGATTTTCAGTGAGTTAACTCAAATATAAATGGACATTTTTTTAACTTTAAAAAAAGTATAACACCTAGCTGTAATGGGTTAGTACATGGGAAGCTTTTAATATGTTCTCTGTGAGAAAACAAAGTCTGAGCGGCGTTTGAAGGATTTACCCAAAGGATTGCAGCCGATAATGTCATCAATATGTTAAATATTCAATCAATCACCAGCAGCCTCACGGTGCCTGTCGGAGCTTCACGTTGTGCTCTGCAACGTGACCTCGGCGTTTCCAGCCACGTGTTACGTCGCCGGAGCCGCGTGGCTCCGCCCCTCAGGTGTCCTGAAAGTGTGTCACTGGGTTAAAGCGACTCCAGCGGCCGCTCGGAGAGGGCGGGGCTCCACTATTGAGAACATTTAGTTCTCTCCACTAACCCGCAGTCACACAAGCGGAGTGGGAGTTCCTACAGCACAGCGCTCAACACTGTTTCTCAGTCAGGACACAGAAAACCCTGAAACAATCGCTCTTTACTAACCCACCTGCTCAGACCTGCGGGTTTATTGCAGAAGAAGGAAACCAGGTGCGCGGTTAAGATCCACCTCTCAGCTCAGTTGATCGTCCCTGTCCTTCTGTGACAGTTTGGATTTAGTTTATGACATCTTTATTTCCTCCAGCAGCGATGCAAGAGGACAACGGGGCAGCTAAACCAGGTAAGGCGGTGATATTTCTTTATTTATATGGAAAAATAATGTTTTTATGTGTGTGCATTGTGTAGTCTTGCTGCAGTGTTGAGTGATTATTCTTCAAAATTAAAATATCACTATTATACTTTACATTAAATACTTTACGTGTAGCTTATAATCAAATAAAATGTATTATTCTTTTGAAATGTATCATAACATCATTGCAGAATATGAATCTATTAACGGTTTTTTAAATCATTGTCACTATAAATAAACGTTTAAAATGTGAGTTTAAATACTGGAGCGTGTGTTTAGAGGGTGATTTAAGTTTATTTTTTTGTCAGTTTCTCGGTATTTTAAAACGGGGTTAGGAGTGTCAGTGCGGCGCTGCTACATTTCCATTTGACACAACAACAGTGTTCCACTTCCCGATCCCGCTCACATGGCCAGCGTAGCCAGGCCATGTGCCCGTGTATACACGCTTTTAAAAGCCCAGCTCTGATTGGTCGGGGGGTATTCCTCTCCGCTGCAGAGTCCTCTTCCCATTGGCTGAAACGGCCTTCGTGACGTGGGGCATTGCGTAATGTATCCGCGCGCCTCTGCAGCCATGTACACGTGAGACAGTGGAGCGACAACACGCGGCTGACCCAGATTTGTTTTACGTTTTTTTTTTTTCTCATGCGCCCTGCTCTCTCTGAGCTTCGGCTGAAATTCATGACAGGCCCACGTGTGGGTGGGCCGTGACAGAGAACAGCCATGGCTGAGGTTAGGTAATCAGCCTGCTGTGGCCTCCAAAATGAAACTCCTTTTATTCTGGGGGAAGAAAAACATCCTTTTAACTAGTTTTCCAGTTAAGAACTCACTGATTCACCTTCTTAATTATATAAAAAAGTTAAACTAATTAATTTCCTGCTTAATAGTTTTAAATATACCTTTAACCTAATTTAAGCATCTTAAATTACAGAGAGGACCAATAAAATATCACTTGTCTTACTATTTTGTCATATTCTAACTTCTTATTTGTCATTATGTCCATTTGCCTGGAGACAAGTTCTAAATTGCCATCAACCCTAATTTAAAACTGAGAACATCTTTATTAATTTACTATAAGATTGCAAATCTTAGGCTTAAAAAAAAAAGAGGGAAAAAGACAACATTTCTGATTAGGCCTATTTAATCAGTTTTTCTTTCTTAAGTCCACCATCAACTCTCTGCACAGAGTAAAGTATAAGTCTAATTAAAGTTTGATGATAAAGTCAAACTTTTTTTTTTTTTTTTTGAAGTAGTCAATACAGGAGTGCTGATATAAACCAACCAAAACATGACATTGCATAACAGGGAAAGGAAGCTCTCACTGCGCAACGTTTGGTTTCCACGAGTGTTGCCCTGGTGCTTCAGTGACCCTGTCTGGTGGAGCACGCTCCCGTAGCACACATACCCGGCTGTGTTATGTAACCATGTTATCCAACCAGGGCTGGAGATGATAAAGCAGGTCAAAAGCAGCGCTGAATAAACCAACCAGCAAACGGCAACACATGTCCAAAAACACGCCCTAGTCTTTGTGTTGCAGGCGCAGCTACTTTCTATGAACTGTTTGTTTATACCGAGTACTGAGTCATTTATTACCTAAAGTTATGCTTTAACTTCTTTCTCCTGCTCCGAACGAACTGGAAAGACCTTCTGTGATTGACAAAAACAAAACTGTATTTAGAAACAAAAACATTTTTTAATTTGCTTTTTTGTTTTTTGTTTTTTTTCTAAAGGTGGAGTTATTGCTTACATTTCATCCGGCTCTACGGCTGACTCTTGTATGAGCAGCAGCCCCATGTCGACGTCTCCGCCTGCCTCCCGGCCCTCGTTGCCAAGCCGAGCCGTTGGCATGGTGGTGGACATCGCTCCTCCAGCCAAACGGGGTCCGGGTGCGGAGAAAACCGGCCGCTCCGCCGCCGCTGCAAAAGGCAACATAACGAGTAAGAGTCTGAACACTCGCTAGTTACAAGCAAACTGTATGTCGTCAACATTTTATTCACTGGTCATCTTCTTGTTTGTAGAAATCAACGGCATGGTCCTATTGTGCAAGGTCTGTGGCGACGTGGCCTCGGGCTTCCACTACGGCGTCCACGCCTGCGAAGGTTGCAAGGTGGGTGATGAACAAACCGTGTGTGAGATGAACTCTTATCCACTGTGGGTTCACGAACTCACTGTCGCTGCTCCTCTGGCCCTTCAGGGATTCTTCAGGAGAAGCATTCAGCAGAACATCCAATATAAGAAGTGTCTGAAGATGGAGAACTGCACCATCATGAGGATCAACAGGAACCGCTGTCAGCAGTGTCGCTTCAAGAAGTGTTTGGCTGTCGGCATGTCCAAAGATGGTGAGCCTATGGATCTGAAAGTTTACTTTTTCATTTAAAATGCGTCTAGTTTTTAAATGGAGATGGTCAGTTCTTTGGAACCGGGCCCCAGATGTCACTAGCACTGTTTTAGTACCGAACCAGTTTTAACCAACCTCTGACTTTTTTCTGTTCTCAGCTGTTCGATTTGGTCGCATCCCTAAAAGAGAGAAGCAGAGGATGCTGCTGGAGATGCAGAACGCCATGAACAACATGATGAACAAGAGCGGGCAGCTGCACAGCATGTTGCATGACGACCAAAGCCCCCCGCTGCCCATAGAGGCAATCAACAGCGACGCTAGCTCCTCTTCGACCTCTTCTTCCTCGTCTACTTCCGACTCTTCTTCGTGCTCCAACCCGTCCTCCCCGCAGTACCCACAGGACTCGGAGTCTGTGGTTTCCATGGATACCAACTCCAGCTCTGCATCGTCTTGCGGGTCAGACAGCAGTGAGGATGAGGGAGCGCTCAATGGTAACGGGCAACACCAGGACGCCTTCACGTTTCCCCAGCAAAGGTCGGCTTCACAGAACAACGCCTCTCCGTCCGCTGGTACGGGCTGCAGCGGACGCCTGGAGGAGCAGCAGGAGAGCCTGAACTCCTGGAACAATAATCCAGCTGTGGGAGGATACCAGCACTGTCCGTACTCCAACTCTGCCTACAGGGAGGAGAGGGCAGCAGCATACCAGCAGCAGCTTGGCTGCGATCCATCTGGGGACGGGCAGAAAGAACATTACACACAAAATGCCTTTAGCTACAGAGGACCAAACGGCTGCATGAAAAGTCGAGCATACCTGGTGAGTGACTTCCCAAAGCTCTTCCACCTCAGCATCTCCTCAAGCTTTAAAGCATTTGGATCACACCGTGTTTTTGCTTTGCAAAGGTTTGCCCGATGAGCACCTCGCCGTACGTAGACCCTAACAAGCCCAGCCAGGAGATCTGGGAGGAGTTCTCAATGAGCTTCACCCCCGCAGTACGGGAGGTGGTGGAGTTTGCCAAGAAGATCCCAGGTTTCCGGGACCTTCCCGAACACGACCAAGTGAGCCTGCTGAAAGCTGGAACCTTTGAGGTGAGAAGCCAAACCAGCTCATAATTGTTGCTTGCTTTGAAGTCTGATGCCTTACGGCGCTGCTTTCTCCATCATGTTTGCAATGCAAAACAATCTGATTTAAAATATTTCTCTGCTATGAAATCATTTCCAGGTGCTGATGGTACGCTTTGCCTCCCTGTTCAACATGGCCGAGCGGACGGTCACCTTTCTGAGCGGCAAACGCTACAGCCTCGACACGCTGAGGTCGCTGGGTGCCGGTGAGCTGCTCAACTCCATGTGCGAGTTCAGTGAGAAGCTGGCAGCTCTGCGGCTTAGTGAGGAAGAGATGAGCCTCTTCACCGCTGTGGTGCTGGTCTCAGCCGGTAAGATTCCTGCAATCCCCCTCCTTTTCTTCCCCGACAAATAAAGAGGCTTTCCTCACCTTCTCCTTTGGTGTTTTGGTGTAGATCGATCAGGGATCCAGGACTTGAACTCTGTGGAGGCCCTGCAGGACAAACTGATCTGGGCCCTGAGGAACCTGGTGATGCAAAACCACGGCGTTGAGTCCGCCACAACCTTCACCAAAATCCTACTCAAGCTTCCTGAGCTGCGTTCTCTCAACAACATGCACTCTGAGGAACTGCTCTCATTCAAAGTGCATCCATGAAGGCTTCCTAGAAGTGGATGCTCTAAACCACCTGGACCTGCGCCCCGGCCCCCCCCCTGTACCTGACCAACCTAGTTGCGCGTTTGTCCAGAATGAATGAAGTACTTTCTTCTTATTCTGGGGGGTCTGAGGAGAGAATATAAAGTTTACTGTATTTATGGAAGAGATTTGCACGTTGCACACAGACACACAAATGCACGTGTGTGTTAGAGAGTTCTAGTTGGATGTATTTTTATTTTTAAAAGAAAGTACTTTTAAAATATATAATAATGCAATGCAGATTTTTTTTACATCGTTTTCCTCCGAAAGCCATTAATTCCAAAGTGTATTTCTGATATAGAGTGAATGTTTGAGACATTATATACTGTACCTTACATGTATGTTTGGCCCAATAGTTTCATCTGTGTGGTGAAAAGCTGGAGCAAAGGCGTCGCTGAAAGTGTGCTCATTGCTAAATGCATGGCTGCTTAGTGCTAACTATTAATCTGGCTCTGCTCCTCTTGTGTCGGACGGCATCAGCTCATTGTTTTGGTGTACATAGTGTTGTATCTTTTCCGTTTTGTCTTATTTAATGTTTACGTGTTCATTTGGGCACTGTCTGGTCATTTCTGCAGGAAAAGCAAAAACACTACATTTGCACAAGTTTTGGAGTAAAAGCTGAAGTGTGCTACATCATGTAAATGTTTTGCAATTTCCAACTTATTTTCTCTTTTTTTTTTTTTTTTTTTTTAAATCAAACTGTTTTTCAGTATAGCACTGAATTTTGACCAGTTTTTCCTCATTCACTATGTTGAACTATCAGCTACTGGCAACACTGCCATATGTAAATAGCTATAAATATATATAAAACATATATGTGGAATATATATATATATATATATATCTATAAATATCTTATGAACATAGATTATAAATATATAATATAGTATGAATAAAAAAAGTGAAGAACAGTCTGTGTTCAGTTTTTTTTTTTTTTTTTTATGTCTGGTTGGAATGATATGTTTACCAGCAGGTGGCGCTAGCTACCCACAGGATTTTTAAATTTACATGCCGAATTCTTTAAATAGATTTTGATATGTTTAGAGTTTCAATGATACATTTTTTAAAAATGTTTGGAAAAGTTTCAGAAAAGTGCAAATTCTTAACTGAAATTGCCCTAATTTATATTAAAAAAAGAGGCTCTGCAGATGAAATAACCCCTCAGCTCTAGAGTAGGTGCACATTTGTTTAATTTTTGGTTTTCTACTCTTTTTAATCAAGAGCCTAATTTCAGAGCTTTCAGAGTCTGGAATTAGTTTTGTCCTCAAATATGGGAAATTAAGATCTAGCTGCATATGAAATTCTAGACTTTCTTTAATATACAATTATTTTTAAAAGAACCATCAACTGTTTTATAATTTTTTTCAAATCTTTGCATAAGCCACTGAGTTCGTGGGTGACCTGTTCAAGAAAGGTAACATCACATCATTGAGGGCAAGAGTGACCACAAAACTAAAATTGAAAAAGCTGTTTGACAAGGTTTAGTAAATGATTTAAAATATGGGCATTGATAGGAAGGCTTTCAGGAAAACAAGTTCTGACAGTTTCAGTTCAGATTAGAGAACATGCAAAGCAAAGGGGGGGGGGAGCGGGAGATCCATTTGAAAGTGAGTCGTCATCATGCCCTGCATCCAAGGAAAGTTTGCCAGCTTTTAAATTCAGTTCACAGTGGTGGGTGAGGTGGCTCAGAGCACAGCGGAACTCAGAGCTGGTTGAACGACACGTAAATCAACAATTAATCCTCCGTTCTTGTAACTGATAACCAGCTTGAGTTTTACCTAGTTATTGAACTGATCCTCTACCCTTAAAAATGATCTATGAATCTGCTGTTTAGAGAAAGAACTTAACAAATAAACATACAAAGATTTAATTAGGAAAATTAAATTGAATTGACCAACGACTTCTTGTCCATTGACGAATTCTCTTTTTGATTTACAAGCACATTCACAAAAAAAAAAAAGAGTCAACTAAATGGATCTGCTTTTGTTCTGTTTAAGATGCACCAATCATCTAAAACAACTAAATCTATCTCTAAATCATCTCTGATCCTGACTTTTTCTTCTGTTTGATTCAAAACTATAAAGGAAAAGCAGTACAGTCTTTCTGTTTGAGTAGGACAAATCAATCTGAGGTCAAAGGTCGGAATCGGTTCTATTTCATTACCGTCCTCCAGAGGCGCTGCTTCAAGCACTTAATGACTATTTTTGCATAAGCACAGGTCAAGTATGTTATGCCAGCGTGGTCGCGTGTGACCCCTCGTTAATACCAGCGGGTCTATATAGTAATGTAACACTGGAAGCTCAGTTTTCATCTTCCACCATGCAGGTTTGCTGAGTGCAGATGGTGGGGGTGCTTGGTTAATTTTGCTTGACATGAATAGACTCAAGAGTTCGGTCAGAGTTGAGGGTCATCTGGTGACAGCAGGAGGTCAGACCCTTAATCTTCTCAGAAACATCCCGATTCTAAAGGACCAAGCACTCTGGTGGTCATCAGTAACTCATAGAATGATAGTTACAGCCAAACCTGTGGTTCTGTTTTATTCCTACCGAGTGCAAGAGACAGTACTAAAAGCACAGAAGGATGATTATCCACAGCATCCAGAGGATTCACACTCTAAAGGGAAAAACAAGAAAAAAATGCCCACCTTACAGAGACTAAGACGAGAGATGCAACAAGATTCCTTCCAATGGATGGGACACAGCCAAAGTTTCTTTATTTGGTTATTTATTAGGTTAAACAATGACATTTACAGACTAAGCATAACCTAAAAGATGCTGGCTAAAGCTGTAGCTTTATGGGGTGCTGTTTTTAATGTTGCCTTGTCAGATATTTGCAACTATATTTCGGGTTATTTAGGTTTAAATAAGAGGGGAAAAAATGGTTGTAAACTCCTTTAGACCTAATCTCTATATTATTCATACAGTTCTAAATATCACATTTCTAAACTAAATAAAGTAAATTATTTAATTAACAAAATGAATATTGAACTTGTTAATCAAATATTTATATAACAAGCTACACATTTAGTACTTAACTAAATATTAATATATATATTTTTTTATTGAATATTTAGCTGACAAACAAAATATTTAGCTCCAATCTATATGTTTCAGTCCAGGCTAAACATTTATTTCGTAATTTAAGTAATTATTTTTCAAACTGAATATATAACATACTACATAATTTAGTTGTAAAATGAACATGGCTTAAAAACAGTTTAATTCAGCCTTAGAAAGACTGTTTGGTCGTCCTACCTCAAGCTCAGACATACCAGCCGACCCCCATCGTCTCTCCTCAGCTGTAGCCTGGTGGGCTTCACCAATCAACAGCTGAACTCCTTCCATCTCCTGCCCATAGAGACTAGCCCCAGCCAGCCAACTCTTTCCCCTGCTCTGTCTCCATGGCAGGCCTCTCTGATGTATCACCGTTATCCTCTCAGCTAGTTCCGTAAAAGTTCAAAAAATCCACTGAACTTGGTTTCCAACATTTGAAGACGTTTCGCCACCTCTCCAGGAAGCTTTCTCAATTCAAATGCCTGAGGCACTTTCTCAGCTAGCCACAGCTTCTTGCTTGGATTCAGCTCTCTGTTTCCTACAATAACTTGGATTATATTTTGATTTCAAAAAATCAAAATGTTAGGATCTGGTTATTGGGACACGTATTGCAGTGCAGCCCCTTCTGTCTGTGCATATTATCATAAAAAATGATCCAAAATGAACCAAAACTGATTCAAAGAGATTCATAAAATAAGCAAAAATAAAAATTGCCCTTCAACAGAGCAGGTAAATGTATCTGCCAAAGGAATGAATATTTTTCCTTTAGAATATTACCATTACTTATTATTCAACTGAAATAAGATCTTGGAGTTATTTGTTTCTCAAAGTGAAGCTTCCAGGTTGGTGAAAAATGGTTAAATCAGAAAACACTCAGCCAGGTGAACACATTTTAAAAAACGTAGGGTTTGGTTATGTTTAAAGCATTAAGTTTTACAAATAATGGCAAATAAAAATGAACAAATATGCCAAAAAGTCCTGCTTCCACAAATGCTTCATCCATTTAGCAGGAACCAGAAGTAGTCTACTAGGTGTAGGAAATTTGGAGGAAAAAAAAATAAAAAATTATGTACAAAAAAAACTGTGATTGCCCTGAATAATTATCGACCTGGGTTAATGCCAATATCATCACCGCCTTTTAACATTGGTATTTTATTATCTTTGTGATCTTGTAAAAACATTTTAATAACAAAAACCTGAAACAGGTTATTTGTGCCATTTTGCCAATGGAACAAGACAATTTACACTTAAAATAAGAAAAGACAATTGCTTTGTGTTATTTCAAGTGCATATTATCTAAATATCTTACTTAACTATTTCATTTACTGACTCAAATTAAGGGTAAATGCACTTAATTTAAGCCCTTTTTACTTATTTCTAGATTGTTTTCCCAGTGTATATACATGATATAGCATTTATTGTGCATGTGCTTTGAATGTTTAGACATTTACCTGTGTGTGGTGCGTAGAAAAATCAGCTTTTGCTTTGTAGGTTTTACTTCCTTTAAATTTAAGGGTATAACAATGAATATGTGAGGATGGAGCATACCACAGAGCAATATACTGAATTAAGTTATATAGTCCTGCTCATTGCCTGTTTTAGGCCTTATAAGTGCTCACCATTATTTTTATCTGAATTTATTAATGTTACCGTGGAAATAGCCTTATTTTATACACTTGAGGTTAGAGATTAATAATTTTAGGATCTATGTAACTGAAAAAAGAATCTGTAAAACTGAAACAGGTTAAGGTTTTGTTGCTTTAAAACCAAAATCAACAGGTAAGTCAGTCTAAGTTAGAGCAAAGCTATTTAATATATATATATTTAATTTATATTATATTATATTGCTTTTAAAACGCCTTTTGAATAACTGCAGCACTGGCATGTCACTTGACAGGTTTAGGCGACACCAACAGAATATGACCTGTTTGAGTGTTTAAAAATGCACCAACAAATCTATCAGATGAAAAAAAAACATATAAAAAATATTCAAGATTATTCTAAGCCATTTGTGTCATTTAGTGTCCTAAAAATGATCATCAGCATTTGATCACACCATTACTATGTTATCCATTATTGTAATGTACTTCATAAAATATTACGAAAAGACAGAAGGTGAAAAAAGGGCAGAGGTGGAGTTTCTTTTCAACTAGGGTACAAATGTCTTAAAAAAAACTTTTAAAAATTTCCAATGCAGGGCATTAAAAGTACAGTGAAGGATGATAATATCATCCTGGATCAAAGCAAAGAAACAAGTCAAGGTTGATTTGTTCATTAAGTACAACCGAGTAAAGCTGCCAATAGACACTTTGTTGTGCAATAAAAAGAAATATCTAACTGACTGGAAATGTAATTGAATTTGTAATCCCCAAGAAGATGAAAGAGAAGTAACACCATTGAGCAGCGGCAATATGACACCTCAGGCCTTTTAATCTAAGCAATAATACGATACCCAAACAAATGATTAGCAAACACCATTTAATCTGCACAGACAGACGTTTCTAAATTTGGAGCCAAGTTGTTTTCTTTGCATGCTTTTCCATTCAGATGTCAAAAGCCAACTGCAGTTTGCTTGAGGTACAAATACTTGTCAATCGAGCGGCAACATCTTGTGAACAAGAGAAAAGCAGCAGGAGGATCATTTACAGAAGAGGAATATACAACATTTGAGGTTTGATAGGGAGGAGAGAAGGATGCTGAATATCCTCAGTTCATGACCATCTTTCTGTTTGAAGCCTGTGATCTTCTCCATCCCTGACCGCACAGCTCTTCTT